AACCTCGAGAAGTCCACTCGTTGACTGTTACAAACGTCAGCAAGTATTCACGAAATTTAAAGGCTTGACACGTACCAACGGGTTCGATAGGGAAGATAACGATACAGTAGGTCCAGATCCGCCCCAAAGTTCCACCTACGCGGATCCCAGTAACTATCTTGAACAACCTCTCGGCGAAGAGCATGAGTCCCTGGAAGGTGAAGTATAATGTTGCCTTATGATCGATACCTCCAGTTCCCATAGCGAAGATGGCTAATGAGTGGAATAAACCAGACGCGATGAATGTGCCTAGCACCAGCCCTACCCTGCCAGCAGATTCGGACACCTCCTTTCCGAATGGCCAGGTAAGCGTCTCGACTATGAATTGAAGCGGGTAGCCGACGAAAGTGAAGAAGGTTTGACGTAGGGTTTGATGCCAGCGCTTGCCCCAAAAGTCGGCAAGACTAGTGGTGCACCATGGGTGGTCGAAGAGAGGTGGCCAGCTCTCGGGGTTGTGGCCTAAGGCACCGACACCGAACAAGGTTAAGAGGCAGTAGCACATGTGGAATCCAGCGATGATAGCGACTCCAGTGAAGAAAGTGATGAGCGTAGAAACTGTGTACCGAGTAATGAGGGTGCTGAGGTGGGGATGTTCTTTAATAAAAGGGGTAAGGAAGGTGTCATTGTCGACCAAGAAAGATGGTGGTGCAGTAATGAAGAATATGGATCCGCCTTTCGGAGTGGAGAAGTGGGGGATAATCTTGAAGCAGGATTCGAGAAAATCTAAGGTCAAGAACCCAGCGAGGCAGCTGAAGAAGGTGGCTAGGAGGAAGCCTGGCCGGTCGAGCGGTCGCGTCTCAGGCGGCACGTACATCCCCTTTCCAAAGTCCCATCCGATCCCTCTCACGGAATAGAGAACCTCAACTGAGTCGGACAATCCACGGAGGAAAGAATTCGAAGTAGCAGGGACCGTAGTCTCGTAGCCTTGGTGTTCTGTTGATGGCACGGGTGAGCATGGCACGGGTGAGCTTGGCCTCGAGGGTACATGGTGATCATCCTTGTACGCTATCATGACTCCGGATGGTGACTTGACAAACTTGCGTGTGGTCCCATTCGGGATGATTCCATTCGACTCGGTGTACGCTATCGCAACGCCAGAAGGAGACTTGATAATCTTCGACCCAGATCTTTTGAGCGATACAGGTGGGGCTAACGCTTTGGTTTTTTGTGTGCCAAGCGTCGAGATGGTGGATGGTGCGTTTCCGGTTTCGCGGTCGATTGCTGGCGTCTTCACACGGCCTAGTACCGTTTCTCCATTCTTGAAGCGACCTTCTTGGACAAATCCGTATTCCAGCGCTTTGCCGAGAGCAGCTAATCCGAATAAACCTGCCAAGGAAATGTTGTCAAAACATGGACAAAAGTTATCACTCAACCAAAAACCGAAACGCAAATATAGTACGAGGGAGGGTAAAAGAGAGAGGAAAGGGAGCCAATACCAGCAAACGAGTCGATCCAGGTCATTCCTTCAATGCACCGAAACTTATGATACCCACCCTGACCAAAATTGTAAGGGCTATACAGTTGGTCGACCCATGAGTAAGCAAAGCTCGCTCTCAAGATGGTCCAAATGGTGTATGGTAACATGGCCAGGCGATAGACTTGGGTCTTGGGTCGTCGGACCAAGTATCCCATGACCAGCAATGGCAGGAGCGGCAAGAAAACATGATGTATCGTTTGCGCTGTGACTGGAATTCTATTTGTCGGATGAGGAACAACCATTTGCCATATTGGCATGATTTCTTCGTAATAGACGTCCAACCTAAATTTTCATTTGTGATGTTGTCGATGTTGTGAGCTTCACCAACCATCGAGTTTTTGGCGATGATAATACGTACAGATACCATTTTAACGTCATAGAGACCTGCTTGCTTCGAATTTATGCCTGAAATGGTCTGAGGACGTCGTCCGGGGTGGTCGGATGATGACGAGGAAGTCAAGCTGTGGATGATTCATCGGCAGCTGCGAGCGCGTACACTGCGGAGTCAGGCGACATATGTCCAGATTATATAAGATTTAGATAATAAAACCACAGTTTACTTGTATTTTGAAAACCAAAATACGGGGTCTCGAGACCAGCTATCGAACTGAATTGGGAGCACAAGATGCACTTGTGGGTGCAAACACGGCTGCACTTCCTTTGGAAGCCATAAATATGATGAAACGCTTGTGTATCGTGCTTTAAAGAAGATCTCCCATAACCGGGTAGAGTGTTCTTCATTCGAATCAGTCCAAAGAACCTTGGAGTCGACCATATTCAGGCAATGCACAACCCTCTTTTCTTTCGACAACGAGGCCGCACAGCTTTCATCATTCGCATCGACTCCCAGGATGATTGATACTAGATAGCTAACGACGAAGGCTCGGAACCCAACACAAGCGTCCACCTCTTGGGATGACCACCAATCGAACAATCTAACTGAAGCTGCACGCCTCGACCTTATTCCATCGGCTTTTGGGTCCCTTAGGAATGTAATGGGGTTCTACTGGGGATGTTTCTCTTGGTTTCGTGTATCATTACTTAGAGCGTTATGCAAGCGTAATGATTTCTTGATGTCTCTGTGAGGCTAATTGTCTTAAATTTGGTGGTGAAGACTATACATTCAGTGTAAATCCCATGTTCTAGAGCATTATTAATGGTGTTTTATACTTTCCATCACCGATCTGGTTGAGTGGCGAGCTCAGTTCAATCTTGATCCCTGCTGCGTAAACCTTTACTCAACACATCACTCCCTTTCCTTTTGTAGATGAGGGTTTACAAAAGTTAAGCCCACATCTTTCCATTTCCATTAGTAGGAATCTGTCAAATGCCGGAGCTACTGAATTACCCCTTTTAGTGAGTGATTCTCTTTGCCATCCCTGTATTGTTCGGATCGGCCAGATAGGTACCTCTTCCAGTAAAGGCAATTTGGGACCCGACGCAATCACGCGTTCTGATTTCCCTATACCTTGCATCTTATCGCGTCCTCCACTCAGGTGGATTGTCTATCACTGCATTACCCCAATATGAGGTGGGTCTGTTGTCGAGTTTTGTATAGTTACTGATGATCCTGATAGTGTATTGGCTTTTCGAGGTA